AAAAATCATACTTTAACAATTATCTTTTTTTTTTTTTGTTTTTACATTAGTCTTTACCAACTCTTTTTTTTATAATTACTTAACTTGTAAAATTTTGTTTTATGATTATTTTTTTGTCCCTTTTCTCATTTCCAATTTCTTATCATTTTTGTCCATTCTTATTTTATTCCTCTAATTTTTATTACAATTTATTTTAATATATTAATATAAATGCTCAAATTAAAGTTACAAAAAAAATTATTTGAATGAGATTTTAGTATAATTGAATGCACGTTCCCAAACATGCATAATAGTAATATTGGATATTGTAATATCCCAAAATTTTGGTGATATTTTAGCATTAAATTGGGGATTTATTTGAGAAAAAATATTATTGAGGGGCTTAATAGCAAAATTTTTAAAAGTGGAGGGACTAAAAAGAAAGGAAATTAGGATAAGGATCAATTGCTTTTTTCTTTTCTTTTTCTTTCTTTCCTCTTCCTTATCCGCGCATCTGCTCTTTTTCTTCTCCCCGATGCTCTGCCTCCCCGACCAGCCCCCCCCCTAAGCTACCGACTTCTTCCTCCTTTGAAAGTCGGTAGAAGACTTGAAATTTCTTCTTTCCTTCTTGTTCAAGAACTGATTTTGGGGCTTAGAACTCTCCTTAAACCCAGAATTTTCCCCAGATCTGCTCGGTCTCTTCCTCCCCTGTCCATCGGGTTCTGCTGGGTGTGGATCCTTCGGCTTTTCTGGTAAGCCACAGCCATGAATCCCTCTCTTTAACCTTGATTTAGGCTGGGTTTAGTTTAATTGCTTTTATTTCCTTCCAATTTTCGGGTAGCCGCGAGTTCCCCTGCAGAATTTCTTCTTCTCTGCCGCCGGCTTCTCCCCCCTGCTAGGTTCGGTTTTGCTTGCTGAATTCCGGTATGGACAGCTTCCTTTGAGTCTAATTTCACCTATTTAGCTGTTGTTTGAATTTTTCTTGTGCTGTCCGAAAAATTGCAGGAAATGGGGATGAATTCCGGTAGCATGTGGTAGTAAATTAAATGTGTTTTTGTGCTTGGTTTATGTAGAATTAACTTAATTTGATTGTTGTGAGGTTAATTGTGTGAAACCCCCGTGAATTAGCTATGTTTTGCTAATTTGGGAGTTGAAGTTACTGTTCACGATGTACTGTTCACTGGGTACTGTTCATAGGCACTGTTTACCCACCGAGGGTCAACTATTAACAGGGATTTAAAGGTTTAGTTTGTGATATAAGAATGAATTTAGAGATGTCCGGTTATGTGGAGATTGATAGAAATAGCACTGTGATTAGGGGTAGTGCTAATGATGATTTTACTGTGAATTTGTGATAATGCGGTATTAATTGTGGAATATTGTGATTAGGTTTTGATCGTTCTGTCACCATAGCACTTGGGTTAGCCTTCTGTTCTGTGCGAGTAAGGTAAGTAAATTATGGTAAAACCCTTCAATTTTAAAGCATGTTTTAAACTGTTTTTGAGATGGTGGCAAGGTTCAAATTAATTTTAAATTGATTTTATCAGCATTTGAGTGTGGTTAAACTGAAATGGAAATCGTGATGATTTCTGTGAGAATTTCACTATTTTTCTGGAATTGAGCATGAATGGAATAAAAATGAGGATTTTATTGATTTCCTGGAATTGAGCATGATTGGAATGAAAATGAGAATTTCATTGTTTTTCTGAAGTTGAGTATGCCTATTTGGAAATTGACTGAACTGTTTTGATGAACTGAGAGTTTTTGTAAATTCTGAGTTTTCTGTTAAATCCATACTCACATGGATATTTTCCGGTTGTTTCTGAAATTGGAGATTGATTGTCTTGATGATCTGAAAGTGATTGGTGAATTATGTTTTTCTGTTAATTTTAGCCTGTTTTGTCTCCGATGTGGTCACGTTTCTGTAATCCTGCTAGTGAGAGTTAAACGCTAGCACATGTCGGCCCATGTCGATATGTTATTGATGATCCTGCTAGTGGGGGTTAAACGCTAGCACATGTCGGCCCATGTCGATATGTTATTGATGATCCTGCTAGTGAGGGTTAAACGCTAGCACATATCGGCACCTGTCGATATGTTATTGATGATCCTGCTAATGGGGGTTAAACGCTAGCACTTGTCGGCATATGTCAATATGTTACTGATAGAACCAGTTCGTTTCTGTAACCCTGCTAGTGGGGGTTAAACACTAGTAATTTCTGTTGCTTGTCAGTGAAAGGTTTATAACACTGGCCGTGACCTATAGAGGAGATGTCTATTTTGTGCTCGTACTGTATCTGTTTTCATGATTATACTTGTTGGCATGCTATGAGTTTAATTAACGGTTTGTCAGGAAACGTTTTGTTATTGAACTGAATCTGATTTTGCATTAACGGTTTTGTCATTGAATGTTTTGCTATTGAACCAAATTTGATTTCCGCATTAACGGTTTATCAGTGAAAGTTCTGTTATACTTACATGGTTTATCTGACATGTTAAAAGTTTTACCCAAGGGCTATCCATATTTACTTATTGAGTTATCTCATAGTTTTCTTTGTCCACCATTTCAGGAAGCGAAACCAAGGACGGGGAAACCGAGGGGAGTGACGAGTTAGAAGGCTAGCCATTTTGTAAAGTGAATATAGATTCGAGATATAGATCATGATCTTGTGAATTAAAGTTTAATTGGAGATTTTATAACTTTATTTAATGGATTGTTAGTTTACAATAGATTTGACCTGGAGAATTTGAGATTAAATTATGTTGGACATAGAATTATTTTGAGATGATTGATTTGAGTTATTGGATTGTCAGATATGAATTGAATAAGTTCTGAGCCTTGTGCATCTGTAGGACCCTCTCACGAGTGCACGGCGTTTGTCACGTCCTCAGATTTGGATTCTGGGGCGTGACAGATATATATACAATTTAGAAAGAATGAGAAGTAAAATTTATATTTAAAAGAATAAAAAAGGTAATAATAATATAATATGAATGAAATAAAAAAACATAATATCTTACGAAAAAAAATGTAATATTTTCATGTAACTTGACATTTATCAAATTTATACCTTTTCTCTAATCTCTTGAATAAAGTTTTGTCCTTACCACACCAAAAAAATAATAATAATAATACATAAATTTTAAATAGATAAAGTTATAAAATTCTTTCAAAAAAAATCATCATATCTTCTATAAAAAAATTCATAAAAAAATAATAAGACTAATAAGAAAAATAGTTTATACAATAATATACATATTTTGAACTAAAGTGAAAAAAATATATAAAATAAAAACATCATATTATATTTAGATACACTATGAAATAGGAAACAAAAAAAAAGTGGAACTCACCATATTAATAAAATGAAATTAAAGAAATAAAGAAGAGAATATAATATATTGATGTAGAGAAAAGTGAGTTTATTTATA